CACTTGTTCCTAGTAGCTTCTTGTTACTACTAGTAAGGCACCTGTTAGTACTAGCGTGGCACTTGTTCCTAGTAGCTTCTTGTTACTACTAGTAAGGCACCTGTTACTACTAGCGTGGCACTCTGCAAACAAGAGACGTCAGAAACGTTTTCTTTGGTGTTTCGGACGCTTGGGCCTGTCTTCGCAGTAACAAGGGCGCTACTAGGGGATCCTGGCCTTGCTACTAGGAACAAGGACGCTACTAGGGGCTTTGGGCCTGTCTTCTTTGTTCAAGCGTCTTTGCTTTTTTCGCTCCTGTCTTTCCTCAATTACATGTAGTTTCCTCTTGTTACATTCTATTCTTGTTTGTCTTTCCTGTTTCTTTGCTTCATGATCTGATCTTCACAACTATTTGCACGACAACATCAAAGACGTGACGTGCCAAGTTGAATATCTCCTTGGTGCCAATGACGCCAATGTTGGACAGCGTGATGGTTCCGCCCTGGTTGGAGGCCGTCGCTTGTAGGTTGGAGGCCATTTCTATCAGTCAAAGCATGCTTCAAGAAGAGCGACGTTCTGAAGTCGTCTGACTCGGACTTAGAGGGAGTGAGACAGACTCACCTGGATATCGTTGAGGGCGAGCTTGCCCTGTTGAGCTGCAGTAGCCACCCGCATTAATTCCTGCTGTATCTCCAGCACGTTCTTGCCACCTACATCCTGACAATAGACAGACTTCTGAACTGAAACTGTTCTAAAGACCCAGAGTTCAATTTGTTACAAAGTTTCCACAAAGTGCCTTGATATTGGGCACCATCAAGCCACCAGGTGTGTCAACAGCAACCTCGGTCCAGCACATTTCTGGCTCAGCCGTCCACACACGCGCAATGAAAACTAGTAGCTTCTTGTTACTACTAGCGTGGCACTTGTTTCTACTAGCGTGGCACTTGTTTGCATGTTTGAATGGTAAAAAGAATGTGTACGTGTTCCCGTCAGTCTTTTACTACTAGGGATGGCCTCCCTAAGAGCGATGGCCTCCAAGCTACAAGCGATGTGTACGTGTAGATGGCCTCCAACCTACAGATTTTCCCTTCAGCCCTTTAGAACACAATATTGAATCTACAATGTTCGCTACTAGGAACAAGTGCATCGCTTCTAGTAACAAGTGCCTTACTAGTAGTAACAAGAAGCTATTAGAAATATTATATGACACACTAAATGCAAAAGTTGTTTCTGTGATCTCTCCACAGTTAAGCTGGCAGGCTGAGATGTTGTGGCTGCCATAGATCGTGTAGCTGGGAGGATTTGCATCAGGGGATCTGAGCACAGTCTCACATGCAAAGAAAAGAAGAAGCAAGGCTAAAACAATGGCTAAGAAGCTAATAGGAGCAAAGGGCATCGCTACTAGGAGCAAGGACGCTACGAACGGAGCAACATGTTTATTGTTTGAAGCAAAAAAGGCTTTTAAGATCCCTCTAGTTTTCCTTTAAGTGCGCGTCCCAAACTTGGAGTTGACCTTTGGGTTGTCGTACAAAGCCAAAGAAATTGCCTGGACTGGCAAGCGATGAAGCAAGATTAAGTAGCGATCAAGCGAGGATTGCTCCAGTCCTTCAACATGAAGGACGTCACGGTGATTTTCGTGCCGTACTTCTTCAAGGCAAGCTCCTCGACGCGAGAAAAGAGTGAGTCGAGAGATGAGAGAAATGTTCCTAGTAGCTTCTTGTTACTACTAGCGTGGCACCGGTTACTACTAGCGTGGCACTTGTTCCTAGTAGCGTTCTTGTTACTAC